AGGAGAGAGAGAGAGAGAGAGAGAGAGAGAGAGAGAGAGAGAGTCAATCAACTTCTTGGCAAACTTTTCATTTTTATGGCGGGCGTAGCCGCAACAGGTCCCCTAGTATGACTTGACTTGCTTGGGATAACATGGCCGCAACTGAGGAAGATAAGCTGTGGACCCCGAAGGCCTGTTGGACCGAATCAGGCTTGAAGTCCGAGTGCGTGCGAAGAATGTGCAATCAGACTCACTTTCATTCACACCTCGCATGCATGTAAACAGGGACACAGCAAACTGGCGACAAGCGCCCACTCAAAACTCAGGGATATGGTAGCTCGGAACACATCAGGTACACGCTCGCTTCGAATGGCTATGGCGCATCAGCGCCTGTACATCTCTATGTTCGTCACTACTCAACCTCACTGTTCTCACACTCTCACTTAGGATCACCCTGGATATCCCACACGCGGCACACTGTACACTCTCGTGCACACATACACGCTACACTCTCTAGCAGCTATGGCGGCTATGGCCGCTGCTACCCTATTGCTATGGCTAAGCCCCCTTCTTGCCCACTCCGTCTCCGGGCTCACTGAAGACCACCTCGCACAAGTGGCTGTGGCAGCGCTTCCGAATGGCTTATGCAGGATTGAATGAATGGCTGGGCGCTGCCTCTTGATTTATACTTCTGTGGCTCGTTGGTCTGGCCGTTTCCCATGCCCGCGGTGCACACAGTCCCATGCGGTACTTGCTTGACTGGACTAGGACTGACTGGGACTGGGACTGCTGACTCAGCACGGGTGGACTCCAGCACTTGCCCACTTGCCTTGGTCTACTGTGGGCAGTACTCCGAAAGGCCACTTCCGGACCTTCCGGAAGACCGTGGACTTGGCCTTTCGGCACTGTGGCAGCTACGACCTTGACCCTTCGGAGGAGCTACAGCTACGACTTCTAGAACTTGCTAAGACTCCTATCCGACAGGTCTACAGATCGAACCCCTATACCCTACAGACCTACGACAACCTATCAGCTGTGGGGAAAGACACAGGTCGTGGGTTCAACTCCTGGGGTTGACACAGATACTGTACACAGGTAAGGTAAGTCTAGGGATCGAGCCCTGGGATCTGCATCGGCTACTGCGAACAGGTGAATATCGTTTCAAACGCCCCAAGGAGCAAAAAAAAAAGAGTCGTAATGGTGTAAGTCTAGAATGCTGCTGTTGCTGTCATGAATAGGTACGGATGATGGATGTCCCCTTTCGGATGTCACGGCTGTTCAAATTGAAACAAGGCAGAGAAAGATTAAGGATGACACTTAGACATTGAGAAATGGTCAAGTTCTTGAAAAAAAAAAAAGAATGCGAAAAAGAAGGGTGAGGATGGCTTTGATCTTATGTGATCTGTGTTGTTGCCTCTCCTTTCACAGACTCTTAATACAGGATCCCTGTTTTATGCGACAGCAAATGCACTTGCGTATTTCTATATGGTGAGTGAGTGAGACCTGCCTGCATTCCACACGCAAATACTCTTCCTGGGTTGCTTGCTGCATATGCCACAGGTGTTTGTTCTACAATGCCACTCTTTGTGTCCACACAGCCTGCGAGAGCTGTAGAGGTTCCTGTGCAGATCGATTTGTATGATCCACTGACCTGGGGCTAGGCCAGTCATCGTTTTTCTTGGTTTCGTCAGTGGACTCTATAGTGGTTTGTTTAATTTTGTGCACACTGCACATGGTTTGATTCTGGCGCCCAGGGAGGTTATCCCAATGGAGTGCATTTGTTTTGTTTACGGGTGTCAATGAGGAATCATTGTGCAACAGGAAAGGGGAATGGCAGTCGGCGGATGTCATCCATGGGATGAAATGAAATAATCGTCTTACCCGTGGATGTTTAAAGATTTACACTCACAGATTTGGCACGCTGAGGGCTTGTTCTCAATCGACTGTTGGGTATGGTGGTGTTGTTCTGTTGTCCTTGGCCTTGTGAGCAGAGAAATGGAATTGTCACAGTTTCCTTGCAATTGCAAACCTGTTGTTGGTCATGTCTGGTGTGCATCATTTTTTTCTCTCCCAGATAGTTTGAAGGAATGATTGAAGCAAGCCTAAGCTTCTCTTTCTCTGTCTTTCTCTCCTGTTCCACTCTCTCTCTGTCTCCTCATGTCAAACTTGGGGGACGGCTCTTGTCCATGGTAGGTGTTCTCTATCCAGCTGCAGGTGGGTGCTGCACTATTTGTGCTTTCTTGTCCAACGACTTTTTCAAGGGATGGCCCTTAATCCTATTGCACAGGGCAGGTTTGGAATCGTAATGTGGTGATCACTGGTTCTAGGTGTGTGTGAGCAAGCCACTAATGTCTTCCCCTGGAAGAGAACACTGTCATTATTGCTGTATTTGGAGCAACTTTCAGTCTAGGTTACACCGTTACGGTATAATATGACCATGTGTTCTATTTGGGTGCAGTTGGTATCAGGCACACTTGCAGCTTACGTTACATGTCATTTTTTTACCTCTTTGTCATTTACCTTGCTGGGCATGTTCCTGATGACTTTCTAACAAGTTTTTATTGATGAATAGTATTGAATACACAGCTATAGATTAGTCGTTTCAGAACGTTTTTGGATAGCCACATGTTTCAGAAGAATCATAACGTTACGTGGAGATGTTTGCTTTCCACCTGTTTCCGAACCTTAAACATCTCTTGATGTCCTTGGTTCAGAAATGCTCCTTTTTAAAGCCGTGTTTGTTTCGTCGGTTTGGAAGAAGAATCGTGTAAAAAAGGATGATGTAAACTTTGTAAAGGATAACAATATAGCAAAAATCTTTTGATGAGCTTTTCTCTTGTTCAACCCATGTCTTAACCATCAAGATGTTCCTCCCATGTACTAGTAGTTGCTTCTTTCTTACCTTTGAGGAACAGGATAATTGGAAGTTTTGGACCCGTCTATCTGTTTCTCTGTATGTGGACCTGGGGCACTTTCATCAGGCACATGGGGTCTTTTGTTATACTACCTGTGTTATCTGGCGCAGAAGTTAATGATCAGGGAACAACGAAGTGCATGGAACTCTCAGATCTGTCCGTTTGTCCATTTGATCCGTGTGCGTCGTTCACGGTGATTCTGTAGATTTGAATGTTTCTGTAGATTTGAATGTGGTTACTGCTGGCAATGTCTCAGCAAATACATTTCTGTTCTTCCTGTGTGTATTTTGGACATTAGACACATTCTTGCATGCATTAGTGTATCAAGTGTGGAGCTTTCTTGCCATCTGTTGGATGGTGGCTGGCAGCTGTAAGTGCTGTTGACGTTGTTCTGAAGTCGAGCTGACTCTTGGTTTGGTTTTGCTGGTATTTGTGGATGTTTTGGATTGCCTGCTCTCCAGGTTTGCTCATGGGGAGGATACACATTCATTATCAACCTGATTCCCATCCACGCTCTCGTTTGCCTCTTCTCGGGCCGATACTCCTCGAGGCTTTATGTAGCTTTTGCTCCATTGGTAAGTTCATGCTCTTACTTAATAAAGATACATACTCCTTGGATACAAGCTGTATGATGCTTGCACCCTTGTGTTTGTGTGTGCGCACGCATGGGAGCATGTGTTGTCATGTTCGCTATACACAACTCGACGAAAAGAAAAAGCACGACTGTGCCGGACTGTTTTGTCAGACTTTCACCGGTTCATCAGGAGGTTGAACCCCGACAGTCTGCCCAGGATGCTTTTGACTCGTGGACAAGGACTCGCCACGTCGCCTAGAGTTAGCGAGAACCCTGTGAAAGGGGTTGGCCTTATTCACACCAACTCTGCAAGTCTAGCAGACTCTCTGTCCAAACCTCTGACAGAACGGCAGTGCGTGTGTGTGTGTGTGTGTGTGTGTGTGTGTGTGTGTGTGTGTGNGTGTGTGTGTGTGTGTGTGTGTGTGTGTGTGTGTGTGTGTGTGTGTGTGTGTGTGCGCGCGTGCGCGTGTGCAAGTGCAAGTGTGTGTGTGTGTGTGCGCATGCGCGTGTGCAAGTGCTGTTGCGCACCATGTTGACTTTGAGGGACGTCAGTGAAGCCTGCTCCATGCAATGGCCCTCTGCACTGTTGGTTGGTCTCCTTTTTTTGGTAGTGGCACTTCTGGCCAACCATGGCCAGGAACAAAGAAATTGAGAGCAAGTCTTTTCAGGTTTATGCTTCCATATTCCTGTCTGGGAGTAAGATGCAATGGCAAGTGGGTTTGTGAGACGAACTGGTGAAGTATAGAAAGGAAGTCATTGATTGTGCCAACAAAAGACAAGAGGTGCTTGGAGGTAGATCTTCTCAAGTAGATGTTGCCTCTCGTCTTCCCTTGCAGGTGGTATTTGGGACATTGCTGGCGGCTTCTGTGCCTGTCGTTGGCTTCAATGCTGTTATGACGTCAGAGCACTTCGCTTCATTCCTGGTGAGGCTCACTTTTCCCATGTCAACTGTGTTGCAATCTGAAGCCGGATCAAATTTCAATCGATTTTTTGCATAGAAAAAATGTTGCATAACAAAATAATCTATTGCGTGCTTTATCAACTTGCTCGTTTGACTCTACCTCCTTGAACCATAACAAAAGAGTGCGTGCGTGTGATTTTTCCTCTTGTTTATGGTTGGAAATTTGCTGCGTTCGGACAGAATTGACAGAGTTAGAGGTACACGAATGGCGGGTTCATTCCAGTCCGTCAGATTTGAACTCTTGTATGCTGACCACGGCATTCGTGTACCATTTAGCCACATGGTTCAGGTACAGAGCGGGCTCTTTATGGTTACGACAGGAGGCATCGCCACCACTTCTTGAAAGAAGTACTAGTCCCAATGTCAGCCGGTGACTGGTTGGGACTGAATGTGGGGTGAGAAATCAGAGAAAAGAGGTGCTGGGCCAGGGACAGATTAGCGTAACTGGAATGACCATGGGCTGAGGTGGAGGGGTTGCAGACCAGTTCAGCCAGCATCCGCCCAGTTCGGGTTCCTCACTCATGCTCAAAATTCCCAGTGCGCCGCATCATGTCCATCTATGTTCTTGTGTGTGTGTGTGTGATATATATATGTTTGTGATATATCTGGAGTGTATTTTTTGGCTGTGACAGACCTTTCTTTGTTTCGTGGATGTTTTGCTGGCTTGTGATGGGGTGTGAACCGACAGTCTGTAGAGTTTTCCATCTGGTGT